TTTTACTCTTGTTAGCAGCAGTAAGTCAATGCAGTTAATGGATTCTACCCTGATTCACTTCTAAGCAACAGAATTGCTAATTAATTGCAATTGCGTGACCAAATTCTCCTGTTGGTTACACCTGTGCATCCCTATTGATGAGCACAGAGTAGCACAGGTGAAACTAAGGAAAGAATTCAAAACCAGTGGGATTGCATTGGTATAATTAAGGACAGAATTTAGCTTGCAGAATTTTATTGCTGGTGGTAAGGCAGAAGCCAAAAAGAACACAGCTTGACTTTCAGAATCTGCCCTGTGTTTTTAGGGCTGGTAATTAGCAGAAACATCATCATACTGTAAACTGTGAACATTTAATCTGGAGGCTATTGAGACAATAAACATGGAACCCCTTGATGCCATTTTAGAGAGTCATTTTTTTGAAGTGACAGGGTACTTTAAATAAAAATCCCAGGTATAGTATTTTTTTCTAAATATTTTGATCCAAGCAAGAAGCTCTGAAATAACTTCAGACATTGCACCTGTAAACATCATGTAAGTACTATTATTGTTTCTTTATTCATATAAATATACATTTCACTTTACAGCTATATAAAGACAAAGATCTTGGTCTAAAAATTGTATCAGCAATAAAGAACTAGCTAACAGAATTTTAAAAAAATCATTTTCACTATTTTGAAGGCACAAGAATGACTTTTTACAATTTGTAATATAGATGTATGTTTGATTCATCATATTGCAATAAACACCTCCTCTATGTATAAAATGCTAAGTTCCCATGCAGGTGTATTCATGTGCATTGTAAGAAGCAGCATGGGAGTTTGCTAAAACTTCAAAAACTTTGCACAACACACATCATTTTTAATTGTCATTTCTAGGGAGCATTCCTTAAGCTTAATTTATTTTGTATACTTATGGGAGAGTCATACATCTTAAGGCCAAGAGGGACCATCATGAGCATTTAATATATGACACAGCCCTTAAAATTACACAAAGTAGTGCCTTCATCAAATCCATAAATGATTCTTGAACTAGGGCATAGCTTTTAGAAAGGCATGCAGTCTTGAATTAAAACCTTCTTATGCCAAAATAATCCATCAGATTCCTAGCTAGAGTGCTCCAGGTTGATCATGCACAGTATTTCTAGTTTGAACTTGTCTACCTTCAGCTTCTAGCCACTGGATCTTGCTATACCTTGGTCTGCTAGGGTACATCTATGCTGTAGCACTATTTCCTTGGTATTTGCAAGGTTCCAAAACTGAATTCAGTAGCAACCTGAAAAATGCACATAGTGTTTTTTTCTACGTTGAATATGAAAATACAGATATGAAAATTAATTTCTATTTAGTTGTGGAGTCATGCTACTCTCAGGTATCAATAGGTCATATTTTATGCTGAAAAGGCATTAATACCCTAACTATGTTGTCTAGTGGGAGCTGAAGGTCTCAACAGTTGGAAAAGGACAGTTGAAACCCTTACCCGTATGTTGAGGTGTTGTTACAAAAACGGCAGTTGAGTACTTTGGCACTGGGAAAGAGATGCATCTGTACTTTCCTTTTCCTTCTGTGTGCAGATATGGTGGTTGACTTAGCAACCATTGGTAGCACTTCCTTCCCCCATTCCTCTACACAGATTCTGCTATTGCATTACATAGTGATAACTGGGTGCATTTGCTGAATATGTCACATCATACTGTATTCTAATATTGTCATTGAAATGATCATTGTTAAGCCTCAGAGTTCTGGCCACTTTTTCTGAAGATGAATGGGAGCCACTCACACCTCTCAAACTCAATGCAGGTTAAAAAGCAATTTTATTACCAAACATACTTTATTTTGAATTCAGTAACAGCTACTGAAAAATATCAAATATCAATTGTTGCATAGTTAAAGTACAGCATCCTATAGTGGGTGGGCAGGCTGAGGAAGACCATGCAGCATCAGTTTACATGTAATTGACATTTTGAAGCTTTCCTTTGCAATCATAACAACTAAGATTATATTTATCTTGTGTTGAGAAGCACCATCCGGATGATCTGGGTTTGCTCGACATCTCTGAAAATGAGATCATTCTGAATAATAATAAACCTCACTAGTTTGATTCCCAATCCTGCAATAATTTTGTGGCTTCTGAAATATTAGAAAATAAGGCTTTGGCTATGGTTAATAAGTAATAAAAGTACAAATAAAAGTAGATTTATGTGTATTAATACATGTTTATGTATTTTACAATGGTCACCATTTTTGAGAGATTGCAACCAGATGGAACTGGAAATTGCTTATTTAAAAACTTAATGAAAGGTACATTGATCAAATACCTTGTATTCCTGGATAATAAGTATTTTTATATCTTACATTGAAGAATTCTATATCAGATATACTGTTCTTTCAGATGATGCCTAAACTGAAGCATTCAGTTCTAGAGGTTCTCTGTTTCTCATCAGGAGTTTGACATTGGGTGAGGGTTGTGAGTGTTTTACTTGGCTTGGATCAAACCCATAGGCTATGTCTAGACTACATGCCTCTGTCGACAAAAGCATGTAAAATAGGCTACCCGACATAGTCAGTGAAGTGGGGATTTAAATATCCCTGGCTTCATTAAAATAAAATGGCCACCGCGCTCTGCTGGCTCAGCTGATTGTCGGCACAGAAGGGCAGTCCAGATGCAGATCGGTCAACAGGGGAAGCCTTTGTCAATTGCTCCCTTATGTCTTGTGAAACGAGGTTTACAAGAGTGGTCAACAAAGATTTCCCCTGTCGACCAATCCATGTCTTGACTGCTGCGCTGTGCCGACAATCAGCTGAGCCGGCACAGCATGGCAGCCATTTTTATTTTCATGAAGCCGGGGATATTTAAATCCCCGTTTCATTGACTGTCAGGTAGCCTATTTTACATGCCTCTGCCGACAGAGGCATGTAGTCTAGACATACCCATACTGATAATCACAGTTTTTACCTTATCTATAATGGAAAATTACTAGAAATCCAGTACTGCAGTGACTGTTACAAAACTCCTATAATGTACAGAGATCTAGTTACTACTGTGAGATATGCATTTTTTTTTTTAAACTGGGGTAAAACTTATCTTTCATTTATTTAGTTCAAATGTATTTTAATTATGTAGAATCTTTAAAATGACTTAACAAATTTTTCAAATTCTGGTCCTTTGTAAATTGTCACTTTGTCACCCCATCCGATAGATAGTATTCAAAGTTTTATTAATTTCATGAGTTGATTGAAATCAGTTATATTTTCCTCCAACATCACTATCCATGAGACTAGTATCACAGCAACATTCTTTTGCTGCCAATGCCAATATACACATTAAAAATATACAGCATTAAAAATTCAGCATATGCTAACAGTTAGCACACAGCAGAATCTGAGATACCAGTTTTCCCTGTGCTTGGAATATAGAGTAACTATGGAAGCTTTATAATACAACCACTGTAGAATACTTTTAATATATATTGAAGTATATATTATTTTTGTGCAGAGAGGATTTGAGAAGGGAAATACTACTTGTGTGCCTTGGGGACAGTCGATAATGTATATTGATTCAGGGCAAGAGCGTGAATGACCACATTTGCTCATAAAGGGTGAAATTTGGTCACCCTTGGCAATGAGCTTTGTGTTTGAGTGTTACTACCCGGAATAATATGGAGCAATATTATGGGCTGATGGGCTTCTCAGATGCTACTGCAGACCATCAGCTACTGATGGTGTTCTCTGCAGCTGTTACAGCAATGGAATGTCATCACAGCCATGTCTCCAAATTACAGACAGTAATGCATCTCCCTGACCCTCTCTGTGGGGGTTACCTGTATGGTTACTTCAAGGAAGGGGTACAGAGGTAGCAAGCCTGACTACTACTAAACACTGAGCTCTATCTAATGGGAACTCTTTTTCACTATTGCTGAAATATCTTGCATGCTTCGTGTGTCAAGCAACATTCCACTTATTCTGATGAACAAACAGAGAGAAAGAACAATGACATGGGAATGTTCTGCACCACATGAGAAAAACCAAAGACAATCACTGTAACATAAGAAAACATTGTAATCATAGGAGGTAGCTGTGGAGAGTTAAATTAATCCCTGAGTTATATTCGCTTCTCTGCTGCTATCAGTTCACTCTATAATCGTGAATATGTCACTGCTGTTATTCCACATGTAAAATGAGAACATAATGCTCATCCACTCTACTAAAGATATCTAAAGCTGACAAGCGCAACACACAGGAAGCACAAATGGGTTTACATTAATGTTGTCTAGTTTTTGTTTGAGAGAGAAACTTGTTTGCATCTGATACATCACATTTAGCCTTCTCTAAGTATAATTGCATGCATTTAGTTTTATTAAGCAAGCATTTAGGGGTCTGCAAGCTTCCATTTGCACAGGTAGTTCCCTTGAACACAAGTGTTGTTTACTTGAAAAGGATTAGAAGGATGAATCCCTGGTATTGTAAGTTTACAATAAAGAGCTGATTCTCAAGCCATTTGCTTGTCTTCCGATGGAGACAAAAGTGATGTTTGTTGGTCTCGTTGTCCCTTTTCGTTTAATGATGTCCCTTTCTTTTTCTACATTGAATACTTAAATCTGTGCTAATGAAAAGTGACCAAGGACAACCACATTGCATGTGTCACATCACTTCTCTTTTGTGCCTATAGTGCTACATAATGGTGGCTAAGCATAAATAAATTAAATAGCACATTTTAAATGAAGTGATAAATGCATAGTATCATTGTGGACAGACAAACATTTGTAGATCTGCCTACATTGTAACTTTATGTGCATTCAATACCCTTTATCTACATTTTATGATATAGGAAGTGTGAGAAATATAGCAAATTTTAGCATTTATTTCCAAAACTTTAAATATTGCCAGGGTAACTAAAGAAATTATCATGTTAAAATACTGTACAGGGTTCTTATATGCCTATTTTTTTTAAAAAAAACCACCAAACTTAGGAATCTTCTAAATTATTCTGTTTTTTCTCCCTAGGATGTAATTGGAAAAGCACTGCAGTTCATTGGAACATATGGTGAGCTTAACAACACAGAGCAAGTTGTGGCTCTGATTGACAAGGAAATGTGCATCAACTGTGGCAAATGCTACATGACCTGTAATGATTCTGGCTACCAGGTAAGAACACAGCTGTAATTAGCAAAAAGGCACAGTGAGTTATCTTTCTGTTTCTGAGAGAGAATCCACCTTCTGTTAAAGCATGTGGCAAAAACAGCTGTATATAATATTGGCTTTTACCACCAGCATAGTCTTTATAACACAAGAACGAGGGGTCACCAAATGAAAATAATAGCTAGCAGGTTTAAAACAAACAAAAGGAAGTATTTCTTCTCATAATGCACAATCAATCTGTGGAACTCTTTGCCACAGGATATTATGAAGGCCAAGACTATAATTGGTTCAAAACAGAACTAGATACATTCATGGAGAATAGCCAGGATGGGAAGGTATGGTATTCCTAGCCTCTGTTTGTCAGAAGCTGGGAATAAGCAACAGGGAATGGATCACTTGATGTTTACCTTTTCTGTTCATTCCCTCTGGGGCACCTGGTACTGGCCCCTATTGGAAGACCAGATATGGGGCTAGCTGGGCCTATGGTCCAATCCAGTATACGTTCTATACTAAACTGAGAGAACCTTGATGGATGCATTTTTAAGGGTTTTCCATGTACCAGTCATTGTGGATTTTGTTGGAAACTTCACTGCATGCTGTCAGAGCCAATCTCTATGACATCTACATCAGGCATTTTTTGTTTTACTTTTTTTGTGGGGGGAGGGGTTATAGGGAGCAAATAAATGAAGATTCAGTATGGACTGCTGCAAATTCAGTTCTTCAAAGGTCCTTGGGTAACTAAGGAAGAAGCAACATGATTCATCCCCCTTCAACCCAGAGGGCAATGGGAAGAAAGAAAATATGCCCACCTGCCAGGTATTCATTCAAAAATCTGAGCTTTGCTGGAAGATTGTGTGTCTAACCTTGAAGCAGTCCTGATTAGGGACATATTTACATCCGTATGAATCAGCCCTCCAATATGATGAAATAACTGCCCTGGGGATTAGAAAGGGCTTGGTTGGTTGATAGGTCCAGACATCACTGTACATGTCATGATTTTGAGCTTTGAGAACTGTTCAAAGGAAACTCTTTATTCCTTAAGTTCTACCATATACAGTAACATACAGTTCTGTGAAAATCACTGTATTTCTGTGAACTGTTCTTTGCCCTACCATCGCACATCTAATAAAAAGAAAGTAAAGCTAAGATTTGCCATTTTAGGTAGCCTGTTCTCTTCTCAAACTTAGTAGGATGCACTAAAATCCCTGTGGAAGTCAATAGTCCTTGTAGTATTAATTTTCATGACTCCTATCCACCCGGTATAGCCGTCTGTATTTTAACTGGGCAACAATTCTATATATTTCAATATCTTTATTTTGAATTAAAAGTATTTTGAATTCCTTATGTTTGGTAGTAAAACTGATTTTTAACTAAATGTAAATATGTTTTTGTAAAAATCATTTACTGCAACAATTAATATGGGGCAAAACAAAGCACTCTGATTTTTCTCTTATTTTTTAATGTTTAAGCTAAGCCCAGACTGTGCTATGACAGTAGCCTAATTTTTCTAGCACTGATACTGAATGTTCCATTTGGCCTATCAGCCTTCAGGGTCTTCACGCCTTTGCTATCTTCCCTTATTGGATCATAAGTATCTCCCCATGCTTTCACAGCGTTTGTCTATTCCACTGTGACATCAAGCTCTATAGAGCAGAGTTCCTTGGTTCGAATCTCCATTCAGTCCACCAAACCTTGTCATCAGATTAGAAGAGTCATTGTAAAGTCCTGAAACCTAAGCTTTCACCCAGCTACCCTAAGCTATTTTAATAGAAAAAAATTATCCCAATAGGAAACAGTTTTAAAGCTGTAAATGCAATTTTAAAATTCAAATTTAAAAAGCCATTTGTCATTTTGAATCAAAATTCTTTTGGTAAATAAAGTAATTTAAACCACAATAAATGCTGTAAGCACGCTATGTGAGGACATTAGGGCTATGTCTACACTGCAGTAGACATAGCCCAGTATCCCAAAATAGCTGCAGTATCCCAAAATAGCTATTCGGCGTCTTTTGAGTGCACCAATTATTTCAAATTATAATGGGCTCACAATTACGATGTGCCTGTACATCTCATTCTATGAGGAGTATGGAACATTTTGGAATAGCGATTTATTTTGAAATAAGTGTTTAAACAGTTCTAAATTTTGAAATAAGCTATTTCAAATTAACATTGAAATAAGATACACAATTTGAGCTAGGCAAATTGCATATCTTATTTTGACCTATGGTGCAGTGTAGATGCACCCTATAGGTCTTCTGAATTCTTACACAAACAGAGGAACAGAGATCCACAATGGACAACAAGTCTGAGATTGTTAAACACACCCAAGGGCTGTACTTGTTTTCCTATTACACAGCATACGTCAACATGTTCGTTGGCAGTTTTCAGGCTGCAGGGGTGTAAGATTTTGCTGAGTTTGGGCAAGCAGAAGAGTTGGCTTCTATGGCAATGGTTAGTTGGCAATATGCAGGCTATCATAAGCACCTGCAGGCACTAAGCAAGTGGTTTGTAAAGTTTATTTAGATAACAGAAATTAATGAAAATGAAGCAGTCACAGGAAACAATGCAGCTGGCCCCATTAGGGAGGAAAGGGAAAATTATGGCATAGAAAAGAAAAAAGCAAGCAACACACCATACAATAGGACAGACCCACAATATATCCATTACAAAAATTATTGTGGTGGTGCTCTTATAACAATATTCTAGAATATTCTACAGGAACAGTGTAAAATACTAGCTCTTACAATGGAAATGCTACAGTGTTGGGCAATTTTAGGGAAGAACAATACGATATTTATAGTAAGGATCAGTACCCAGGGCTGTTGGAACAATTTCTAAAGCGGGGAGGTGGATGCTGAGAGCTGTTGAACCAAATCCTATTTATGATGGAAACCACTTCAAATCAGGAGGTAAGTGGGGGGTTGTGTCTGCAACTTGCTTTGATATAACTTTTAAAAAATCAGAAATAACAAAAAGAAAACAGCTAGCCCCCTGAAGCTTTTCATGATTATAAAGAATACTTTCCCATCTCTTACTTGCAAAGGATCAAACATTTTAAAAAAATAACAAATTTGAAGGCAGATTTTTGTGTTTCCAACATTTCCAGCTTGCTGGACACACCCATCCTTTCATCTCGGCAGAGACTTCACTTTGTAGGACTGAAGCAAAAAAGTGTAATTAATGTTAAGTCAAGCAGAAATGAATTGGGAGGTTCCGAGTTAGTCACTTGCACGTCACCATGAACTATCTTTTCATGAATTGTTAAAACCAACACACAGAGAACCTTTCTTTGTATCTTAAACCAGACTAGAATTTGGAAGCTCAGACTGTTAATACTAAATCAGTTAATACTTGATAGTAAGATGTCATTCTCCTGTGACAACTATTCATGAGCCTCTTTACTAGTGGAACACCAAAATACACATTAGGAAACCTCTCTTCTGTTTTTGAGTGTTGGCGCTTGGGAAGGTACAGAGAAGGCTATATTTAAAGCAGTCAGTACTGCTGCTGGAGCAGAACTGTACAACCTCTCTTTTAAAAAAAGTCTGATTTCATAAGGAAACAAATACTATTTTCTCCTAACCCCATTGCAAGCAGGTTTTGAGGAAAAGCTCACAAAGTTCCAAATATTGCAAATACCTGCACACATACGCTTTACAAAGTATCAGTGATGTCATTGAAGCCAATATAGCTGCTCTTAAAGCATGGAGATAAGTGCTTGTGTAACTCTTATGCCCCCTAAGTCTACTTCAATTAATGCTGTTACAGTAGGGTAGGAAAAGGCCACATCAAGAGCCCCAATTATCAGGCATCGAAAGGTCTTACCATTCATACGTCGCAAGGGAAGAATGACATTTGTTGGGGAAACCTTTAACATAGAATTCCCTGAATTTTCCATTTTAGCTCTCTGCTGATGCAAAGCTTCCTTTTCTGGAAATCCTTCTATATAAATGTTTTAATTCTATTTCTATTAAAATTACATTTATCATGGAAGACAAAGTTTAGGGCCAAACAGGAAATAATAGTTCTGTTTCAGAAAAGATTTCAAGGTTTCAAATTTTGTTTTTCTTCTGTATCAGGGCCAGAACAAGATCTTGCCAACCTTTTTACAAATCAGAAGAGCAAGAGATTTTTAACCGCAGTGGTTAGGCCCAGCTGTATCTGATGCAGACTAATATGAGATTAAAAATTCTGCTCTTGATCTCCCTTCACCTGGCCAGAAA